AAATGTACAACGTTTCGACAAGGTTTTGTCATCATCAGGTACGAAACCTTGTACATTTGCTGTTATGTTAAACTTATATTAAAGTTTTTCTTCATTATCCATTCAAGTCGTCTCCAGCCATTATTAGTCTCAAAGTGGGTTCTTCGTCACCGAATTTACTTTGTATTGAGTTTTGAAGCCCCAAAGTACTCACAGGGCTTGGAAAGGATCAGAAGGTTTTTGACCATTCTAGCATATCTAGCGATGTTTTTTAAGGGGGGGGAGAGGATTAGCAAGTTCCTTTAAAAGTGGGATGATGAATAATGTTCTTTCGAGCATTATTTAATTAAATGAATAATTGTTTAGTGCACTAGTACCATTAATATAAGAAAGTAGGGTTAAAGGGAATACCTATTATTGTAGGATACTGTTATGACAGCAGAACTCACGTGAGGCTGGTAACACGTAATGAGCATCTAGAAGGTTCGTGAATGCTCGAGTGTTTGCTAGATGTACTGTATTCTAATATACATAAGCCCGACAATCAATCGGAACGGGAATAGCAGACAGAGAGATGGAAGATATAGACAGATAATCGAGTCAAGCCGTAAGTAAAGTGTGTAAATCATTGTGAATTATAGCGTGTGTTTAAGTTACAGTGACTATGGAAATTAAGTGTATTGCAAAGTTGTATTGAGAAAGAATTGTTACTAACAACAACTGAGAGAGGAAGACAGTGTTATCAGGTACAGTTTCTGGAAACTTCTGATTTTATCCTATAGTATTTGATATTACCAAAGCACGGACTGGCCCTGTGGTAAAACTTTGGATTTCGGAGCCACTTTCGAATCTGTGCGATACCACTAGAGGTCTACTATACAAGTGGGCTTACTGAGCGTTTTACATTGTCATTACTTTTTAAAAGCTTACATAATTTAAGTCCCGATTTTATTTTTATTATTTGAAAAACCCCAAAACTTTTAGAAATCAAGATAATGATGCTCATTTTCTCAATTCTTGCCTCTTTTTACTTAAGATTATTTCATATTGTTAAAAAACAAAAACTTTGTTAACAATAATCGAGTTATAATTTT